ATATTACAGTAGTATATTACTTTTTGCTGTAACGCAGTAATATAACGCATTACTAATTAAGTTTGGGTAATATTATTACTCGTTACAATCTCAGTAACGCAAGTTACAGCAGCATATTTTAACTAAATTAAGTGGTGAATTTACTAACACTGCAAAACAGCACCAGAGAAAAAATTCCGCAGGTAAAATAGTTTGTCTATCTTCTGTTGCTGGAATTAGATGGTTGAGATGACTGCAGAGAAGGATTCTACATTTGTGAGATGGACACACTCCTTAGTATTTTTTGTTGTTGTCTGTAGAAGAGAAAAAAGGCGGCGGACGAGTGCAGACAAGCAACAAAAATTAAGTTGAACTAAAAATAACTAGATCTGTTTTTATTAAATCATAGTCTATATGTAAAATGAATGAATATGCTAATTTTTTTACTTAAATAGCCTAATTAACAGATTAACAAAACAAAAGGAAAAGATTTCTTCTGAAGCCGTTCAAAATTGCCTATAGGCTAGGTACGGTGTTTCTTTTTTGTTCATTATAACATTTTGCTTTATTTACCGGTGTTATTTATGAATGTAATCATGCGGTTTCTGCTTATCTGTGTTTAACCTAAACTACACATAACATTAATGTAGACCTACATACCGGCATCTAAATATGATTTTATAATTTTATGCTATATAGACCTGATTGCGCCGGCGCCTCACGCACACACAGCATTGCAAACGTTGCAGCCTGTTTATTATCAGAATAAAATACAGTCACCCAAACATATAGATACACTGGTTAATTTAAATAGTGCGTACTGCGTAGTAGCTACAATCGGTGCCGTTCAGCCTGAGCTCGGGCCAAAGACACATTTGCTCATGTGACGAGGATGTTTTTTAAGTGCGTTATAAGCCTGTTTTACATAATAAATAATAGTTTAGATTTTGGAAGTAACTTGCCCAACACTGATTCAGATTAATAACCAGACGATAAATAAATGCAATATAGTTATTGTGCCTTGTTACTTACCTTCATATAAAGTATTGCCTGTATCAGTGACAGATTTGAGTGTTAATTAATAGTTTAGATTGACATGATGGAAAAGCTTATCAGGTTATCAGATGCAGGCAGCCTGTTTGACATGATGCTGTCTGTTTGATCCTTACAGGTCTGATGGGTATGCCCTCGGAGTCGTCCCAGCAGACCCACACCTCCTGCTCTTACCAACACTCCCCCAGCACCACCATCAGCACCCACCCTCACAACAACCAGAACAGCATCACTAACTCTCACCCCAACAACATCCCCAACAGCGGTAGCCAGGTGCCTCTCTCCCACCCCCCTCACTCGGCCCACAACTCGCCCCACGGACAGCACCTCTCACAGCATGGCCCTCACACCCAGCACAGCCAGCACCCACATACGGCACACAGCCAACATCCCCAGCACAGCCAACACAGCCAGCACGGGCAGCATCCCTCCCAGCACCAGGCCCACGGCCAGCACACACCGCAGCAGCAGCACCAGAATCTCTCCCACCAGCCTCATCCTGCCCAGCAACAGATGCAGTGCAACACCGGTAAGAGTCTGTGTGTCTGTGATAGTTCTCGCTATCTGATCGTCTCTCTTGCTTTCTGTCTCGAACCCTCAGCATACTTCCTTTCATGCTGGCATTGCCCTGACAGGACGATTTATTCAGGCCTCTTCTAACAGTCATTTATTTTAGATTAAGAAATTTATGGCAACTTTGGAGCAGTCAGCAGTAAATCATAGGGTGATTTATACAGCTCCTCTAATGAGAACAAAGCAAATGCTGCACACTTCAGAGAGCAGGCCTGTAGCAGAGGGTTATGGCTCCCCCTACTGCCTCAAACAGGAAGTGCACAGCAGCTTCCACACATTCAGAGTTCTGCTGTCTGCTGTGGCCTTCACTACCTTCTTGTTTTGTCTGCAGGTCTTCCCAGTGACTGGTACCCCAACCTGGATGCGCTAAAAGAAAGCTGCCGCATCGCCAGCAGCTACAACTGGGCTGATGTTGATCTGTCACCCTTCCAAGGTATAATCAGAATGTCTGTTTATATACTAAATTCACTGTTGTTGTTGTTTTTATCAAAAGACTAAATGCTAATGAAAAAGAATTCATCATTTTGTTTTTTTAAACTGTAAATTTTGTACTATTTCCGCTTGTATGATATATAATGATGCATTGTGAGTAAATATTGTTATATATATATATGTGTGTGTGTATGTGTGTGTGTGTATATATATATATATATGTATATATATATATATATATATATGCTAAATTGTCTAGGCTAAATATGCAATGGCTAATTTGAGTAGTTCAACTAAAAAACTGAAGAAGCTATTTGAAAAAAAGAACATTGCTAAATAAAGAAAGAACATAAAGAACATTGTTTCATTACTTACGAAATTAAAAATGTTTGTGTGTAAATAATGAAACTCTAAGCAATGTTCTTTATTAATTCACAATCACTGGAAAATTGCTTATTAACTTGAACAAAGGACCTGTTAAGCTATTTCTGTGTTTTGTTTTGTATATTAACTCTGCATTTAATTTTAAAACAGTAGCGTTTAGCAAGCAGTTTCATTTTAGTTTTGAGAAATCAACTGGACAGACTGATTAAATAATCTGTCACTGTTTTTCTGAAGGTTTGAAAGAGAGCATGAGGCAGGCTGAGCTGAATAACTGGTCTCTGGAGCCCACTCAGATTGCAGACCTCTGCTCCTCCATCAATCAGTTCTTTGCTCGCACTGGAATCCAGCCACAAGGGGCAGTGCAACCTCCAGTGTGCCACGGCTCCATGCATCCAAAACCCAACCCACACATCAACACAGGTGAGCAGACTACAATCCACAGTGTCACATATTAAGACTGCAACAGTATTAACATAGTAACATCAGTGTGTTTTTCAGGAAACATGTACATGGACTCGAGACAGAGCTTGAGTTCAATGATGGGTCCGCCGGGATATCCTCATATGCCGCCCATGAGCAGCGCTGGCCCCACTATGACAGGTCCTTGTCCTTTTCAGCTTTTACAAATGTGGCAGGATGTGCATCATGTTGAACAGGATGCAGTGTTTAAAATTAAAAAAAATGTATGTAATACTATCATAACAGATTCTACTATCATTCATACTTGGGATTAGAGAACAAACCCCTAACCGAAAGAATACATAATATAGTAAAATGTTTTCCAAAAATTTATTAATTCCTGTAATGGCAAAGCTGAATTTTCAGCAGCCATTCCTCCAGTCTTCAGAGTCACATGATCCTTCAGAAATCATTCAAATATGCTGATTTGGTGCTCAAGAAACCTTATTATTAATGTTTAAAACAGTTGTGCTGTGAAACTGTGATAACCTTTTTAGTGGAATTCCTTGATGAATAGAAAGTTAGAAGTACAGCATTTATTTGAGATAAAAATAGTTCAAAAATTATTTTCGTAGCTTCATAAAATAAAGGTTGAACCACTGATGTCACATGGACTATTTTAACAATGTCCTTACTACCTCTCTGGGCCTTGAACGTGATAGTTCCCTTGCTGTCTATGCTGGGTCAGAAAGCTCTCGGATTTCATCAAAAAAATTAATTTGTGTTCCGAAGATGAACGAAGGTCTTACAGGTTTGGAACGACATGAGGGTGAATAATTATGGCAGAATTTATGTTTCTGAGTGAACTATCCCTTTAAGTCATGCATTTGAAGGAGCTGAGCCATATATAGTGACCAGGATATCAAAGAGACACACTGGTTATTCTCAAAACACCCTAGGAACCACACTTTATCTAGTTAAGGCATAGCAACACTGTAAAACACATTCACAGCAACTACATAGAAACAAGCATCCACACCTTTGTGTTTCGTTAGCAGTTTGTATTGCATATTTCCACAATATGAATCGAAATAGTTTTCTTTAAAAATCTCTGCACGCTAAAGCATTGTATGTCGTGACCGTTCCCCTCTGCTCTGCCCTCAGGCCATCACGCTCAGATGAACCAGCAGCATATGATGCCTGCTGGAAACTTCCAGATACGCCGCATGCCTGCCGACGACATCCAGGATGACTTTGACTGGGACTCCATCGTCTAACCCAGTCCCCGAGAGCGAAGAGTGGTGCAGACAAAACGAGAGCGGAGCGTATGGAGGCAGTGTGTTTGTGTTACAGAGCAAGAGGGCTGGACCTGAGGTGTCTGCATGCCCGTGACAGAAGGCAGATTGGAATGGGACACTTGAAAAATAGTGCAGGTGTTGTTCATTATGACCTGAAAAAGACTCCTGTGTTCCTGGTGTTTTTATGAAACAAAAACAAACAAAAAAAAAGATATTACTTTGAAGACAATCACATTTACTAGGACATGTTTAACTGATCGCTTTTATACTTGTCCAAGGGGCAAGTGGTTTAAGTCAAATGTCTCCCGACCCACAGCCTCTTTGCAAACTTGCCAAGCTCGCCCCTGCTCTTCAACTGTTGTTCTGTGATTTTTCGAGTGATTGCATCCGGCTTGTTCTCCCCTCTCATGGTGACAAACTCAGGCCTCGACTGCCTATCAGACAAGATTGGCTCCCTCATTTGTGTTGTGAAACTTCATCTGAGATGCAGGGCACTTTTCAGAAGAGGGCCGATGGTGCAGGTAACGTGACACTCTAAGCACCTGCCATCGCTCAGGCACAAGTAGCCAATTTTTTGCTTCTCTGACCCTACACACTGTAATATGCCGACGTCGCCATGCATCCAAATCCAGCAGATTTTACTGATTCTTAAGCTCATAACAAAACGTGTAAGCCACATTACCTGCAGTATTTGTACTTGCGTATCTTTGCTGTCTGAAGTGTGTCATGTTTTTTGTCACTAATAGTTTTAGGCTAGTCTGAATATGAAAATGAAAATTCATATGAAAATGATATCGATCCAGACCTCACTATTATCGATTTCCCTAATCGCTTTACGTTTGCATGTACAATCCTCTTTCTGTTGACCATCGCCCGTCAACCTGTAGTCTCCCGATCGAACTGCGTTACTTTTTGAGTTTGTTTAAAGCCCTCAGGACCTGCCACAGAAAATTTCATGCGTTTAGGAGCGATCGCTTCCCTGACCGGAGATTTGTGGGATACCGGAGAGCCCTGTTCACGTTGCGAAATCAGCCTGCTGTGTGGCTCTTTACAGCAGCGTTGAGGAGGAGATGAAAATCACGTCAAGGCACATTTGCTTAATGGTCTGCAATAAAAGAGCCCTCTTTATTTTAACCCTAGGACCAACTGACATGAAATCGCTTGCTCTATGCTGCTCTGACAAGGACTTTTTCCAGAGAGCATACCTTCAATTTAGCTGTTGAATGCTGGGTGTAACGTAAGAAAGGAGATGAAATACTGAGAGAAAGGAGATGACTAAAATACTTAGATACACTAATAGCCTTATTTTGGAGGAATGTTAACTGCTGCGTTTGAAATTCTACTACTAAGAAGTTGTGCAAAGTTTAAAATCACACACATTCAGACCATCCTTCAAATAAAAAAAACATCAACCTGGATGCAGAAACTAGACAGTAACTGCATCCTGCTCTATCAAGTGTAGCGCCCTTAAGCAGCTGTAATTAGCTTTACTATGTTTTAAGACGTTTAGTTGAAAGTGTCTGCTAACTTTACAAACCACAGTGTCATTTTATTATATCAGCGATATTATGGAATGTTTTTGTGCAATATAATTAATTTAGGGCTATCAGTGATTACAATCATCTCTTTTAAAGAGCACAAAACTAATGCACAAGATCTGGACTAGAATAGCGGAAACCAAATTAGAAATATGTCCGGCCTTTGACCTTTAGCAGGGTATTTCTCAGTGAGAAGCAGCACTTTGATTAGACCAAATTTTAGAGTGCAGGGCTGGTTTAGAAAAGCCATAAAATGCGGTTGAAAAGGGAAGGAGTGGATCTGTTTCTCATAGCTTGAAAGTTTATGCACACCTTGGTCTCCTTGGTCTTCAGTAGTTTTCAGTCGTCTTTATGGGCTTTGTTTTATTATTCATCAGAGTGTAAGTGCTAATAGACTTGGAAAAGTGAAATGATCTTATGACAATCTTTTTTTTTATGTATTACAGTATTATAAACTCTCCGAGTATTTACACTAGTCATTGAGATGTATTGGCCTTTGATCCCTAAGGCCCTTAATATAATGGAACAGTTTGCCGTATGTCCTTCATAAAAACACACACATTTAAACCTCAAAATTAGAACAAAAAAGAAATTATGGTTTACATACAAATATTTTAGGACCATTAATATTTGGAGTTCTGACATTATCATGAAACATTATTGTTATTATAATGGCACATAAGTACATCTCCCTTCTAAAATTTCCATTACTGTAATCTGTTCAGACATTTTACATTATTTCTTTTTCTTTTAGTAATTCCCATTATTCTCAGCAATGATTCATTCTCATTACTGTAAAACAGTATTTGTATTATTTCATGGGGAAAAAATCAGAGTTGAATAATTAAATTTAGCTTAAAGGCAGTAAAAAAAATAGTGTTATTTTGCTTTTTTTCCCCTTACATTACTAGTAATGACATTTTTACAGTCTTTATATTATAAAATAAAACAGTTTACTTGAATAAAATTTTAAAAATGCATTTCTTTGAGCAAAATATTTCTGCCTTTTGATTTTGGGGTCAAATATGACAGGTTTTGAGCGATTCACCCTAAAACGTTTAATGGTCAAGGAACCCAGTCAAACTTCATGTTCATGACATTTCAGCCCGATTCTTCACTGAGTCCTGTCCACGATCAGCTATGTAGTTTGTTACATATCCATGTGTTCCCTCATTACATAAGCAATTGTCAGATTCTCTGACGCTAATAGGGTTTAAATTGGCGAAACCATATTACTGAAGCCTAACGTAACCTAGAAATCCAATTAAATTGCCCATGATGCTGATTTTGTGAGTCTGCTCACATTGCCGGATTCTACAAGGAAGGAAAAACGGTGACAGAACCGTTATCCACTTTACCCCAGACTGTTCAGCATCTGTGTTTTTCTGTGATTTGACTGCGACGCTGTGCACATTGTTCTTAAGCTAAGCTTCATTGCCCAAATCTGCTTTGGCTCCCTGCATCCTGTTCTTGCTCTTTTCTTTCTGTCTCATGTTTTCGTTTGGATACTGTTGAAGTGTTCAGGAGCCTTGTTCACCCAGCCTCAGTGTTTGTCATACAAAGAGCTTTGAGAGCTTTTATCTGCTCATTTGTGCACTTTGAAAAGAATTCAGAAGCACAAACGCTTACGTCGTTCATTAACTCAAGCAGGATCTCACCTCGTTCGCTCACTGCCGAGTGAACATCTGGCATCGATCCACCCTCGGTGTGAACTTTAATACCATACTGTGGTGTTCACCCTCGATCATGGTTTGTCTGGATGTCGACCGCAGGAGGAGGTCAGTTTTCGGTTGGAAATATTTCGTATGTATTGCCAATCTGTTTTTGGTAGTGATGTGTTTGGATCTCTTGTTTGCCAAAGAGAGAAAGTTTAATTTTGCAACATTAAAGGCAGCAGGTAATTGGCATCCTTCCCAGGTGTGGAAGGGTAACGTAAGTCTGAAGGATCGGACTGAACGGAAAGCGTAAAGGGAGCTCTAGAGAATATGAGCTGGACAGGTGATGAGTTCTCTCTCTCTCTCTCTCTCTTTTCTCAAAAAAGAAAAAGGAAAAACATTGCTCCTTTGATTTTGTGTTGTGTGAAAGTTTTAACTGTTTAAAGACAACTCAGTTTTCGTAAAACGAAAGAAAAAAATAACTAAAAACAAGTGGGGATGCATCTGCCAGAGAGATTACTGTAATCAAGGAAGAAGCCTTGTTACATTTACGGGAGAAAACTGCCAACAAGTTCTGGTATTTGGAGCCTGTTTTATTCATTGTTGGTGTGTCGTTGTGCTTATTGTAAATATATGTCTTTTCGATTGTCCTTTTTTCCTCTGGGGTGGTGAGGGATCAAGGCAAGGGCTCGGGTTCACCTGCGAAAGAAAAGAGGGAGATGAATACAGAGTATTTTGTTATTGTCCAATCCAAGGGTGACACAGTATGTATATATCTATATTGTATATATGTGATGAAAATGCGTTGGCTTTTTGTGTGACACTACCGTTTACCTGTACTATGGTTCAACATTCAGTGTTTCAGTGTTTATATTCTATTTTAATCTTTGTTTTCTGTTTGATTTTGTCCTGGTCATTACTTGTATTTGTTGTTTCCTTCATTTTCCCCTTTTTTTCCATTTTGTTATTGCACGGTTTATTACTTTTGCTGTCCAATAAGATGACACGGCTTCACTTTGTATTGGTTTTAGTGCTGTAAAATAACTCTGAAGTGTCATTAGGATTGTCAATACCACCCCTTCCCCCGATATGCATGAATGGCACTTAAAGAAATAAAATATGTTAACTTCACTGTGGAATCTTTGCTGCTTCGTGATATTTATTTCATATACATATCCTTGCAAAAACTGAAGTACTTGCACAGAATACTCCAAAACACCTAAAAATGGAATTTGATATATATAATTTGATTCTCAAATATTATGTTTTAAGATTTATTTTTGTCGTTTTTGCCTTTATTATGACAGGACAGTGTAGAGATGACAGGAAGCGAAGTGGGAGAGAGAGAGGAGGTCCTCGAGCTAGGATTCGAACTCGGGACGCCCGTATTTCTTATATTTTTAACGAACATTAACCTCTATTTTTCAGAAATACTGACAGAAAATTAATCAATGATATATATAGCATTCACCGTATGTAAACGGGTTTTTGCAGCATCTGTCACTTGACAGTACTCTCAAGTTAAAAAGTTAAACTTTAAAAAAAAGTGCATCTACAGGATAGATTTGTTGACACCAATATCTATAGATGTTTTCATTCCATGTGAATGGTCCTTGCTTTTTTTCTCGCACTTGCTTTTTCTCATTTCATAAATGGTATTAAAACTGCCCGAAAGGACTTAAGTATTAAAATATTTGTGCTGTGTGCATCTTGTTGCTAGGCTAAGTGCTTTGTGGGAAAACAGGTACAGTTATAATATTAATTTCAATTAAATTTAAAAGATTTATTGCCCACGTATTTTTTTTATGAGCAGCCATGTAATATGTGGGATAAGACATTCAGTGTCCACGTATGCGGTGTCAACTTATTTCATGAAACATCAAAGCAACTGACCCTAAAATTAACTTTTAAGGTTGCAATCTCACGTTAAACTTCAAATCTGATTCATTTTTCATCAAAGCGTTCCGTACACGCTGTAGTCTGGTACGGTATACGTGCGGCTGAGCCTCGGCTGTCACAATGGGTTAGAACAATAAGCTTGTTAACTAGCCTGTTTTTGCTCAGCAGATCTAGGTTAGCCATCTTGCTTTTTCAGTAAAAACCGGTTTCTGATGACAAGACAGCCGTTGACTGGATGTTCTTAGCGTTGAGAAGCTCTCTCAAGATGCTGCAGTGTTTGAAGCCCCCTACAAGTTTGCGTTTCCTCACACATATATATTTGGTGCACTCACCATGGTGCTTTGAAACTGCTTAAATCTTTGTAATCCCAGTTTCCTCCTGAAGAGCACACATAGTCCCTTGGTATTTTACCGACCTATTTTGAATTTGACAATCTGGTGCTGTCACTGACTTGCCGGTCTACTTCTAGTATCTGAAGCTTACGTTCAGAACCGCTTTAAAAATAGATTTTGTTAGTAAATACACACACGCATCGACCCCTCGGCCCCATCAGATCAATCTCTTCAACTCAATGGCATCTTGGAAGATGTGCTGCTGGAATCCTTTTTAAAAAGCTCTTTCTCTATCGTGTCAAATTTTAAACTTTGAGTAAGGCGTTGGAAGGTCTGTCAGGACAGCAATCTGATCTAAATTGCTGCAA